AATCAAAGAAAAATTCATTCCTTTAGCTGTGATTTCCTTCTTATTAAAAATTGAACTTCAAATACACTCCAGTTCAAATGAAGTGAATGGATCTTACGGCTGGATGAGAAGAGAAGGGTTTCTGGATGAAAAATTCAAAACTTAAAAATCACATAGGAGGAGGGCTGGCCCCGTGGCTTGGCGGTTAAGTGCGCACGCTCTGCTGCTGGCAGCCCAGCTTTGGATCCCGGGCGCGCACCGACGCACCGCTTCTCTGGCCATGCTGAGGCCGCGTCCCACATACAGCAACCAGAAGGATGTGCAACTATGACATACAGCTATCTACTGGGGCTTTGGGGAAAAAATAAATAATTAAAATTACTAAAAAAAAAAAATCATATAGGAACTAGAAAAAAATCCTCATTTCTCAGACCCAATAATCTTGTGCCTTTAATAACTGTAACAGAGGGTGTCTGGATATTTGATTATATTAGAATGAGTATTCTAACTAATTTAAAAACTTTTAAAGATTATGCTCTGGCAACAGAGATTCATCCACTTACAAATAATATCCCCAGCTCCAAACATATCATATATAGAAAGAAACTAAGGCAGGGGAAGGCATGAAACTAATAACTGTCATTTTTGTTCACTGTTAATAAGTGGATTATCAAGTAGTGGGCCAATAAGTATATTAAAGACATAAATATTTGATTGATAATTATCCCTGCCAATTCCTCCAGCTTAAGGAGAACCCTCTTTCTTAGCGCTTCCACGAAGGGCTATTGCATTTTCTGGGTCTTCCAAGAAGGGCAATTACAGTCTGCTTCCTAGAGGGGTCTGATAAACCAATGTCTCCCTCAGGGTATGACTGAAAGGATAATGGGCTGTTATCTTTTGGCAGCTCTAAGAGATAAAAAATGCTTGGGAGTTGGTCTGAGGAGAAAACTGACCTCAGACTTTGGGTTACTGTCTTCAATGATGAGTAGACTACGGCACTCAGAGAAACTTAAGGTCTCCCAACTTTCTCATCTGAAGGGGTTTCAATAGTGTTTTCTATTAAACTTCATATAGAATAACAGAAACAAACTTCATGTCTTTTGCTTAATAATTCTTTCGACATTTCCGGTCCAGACATCCACTCCCAGGAGAGTTGACATCACCTGGAACTGCTTCTTTGAAATCTGAATCCAAACATTCCTGTTCTTCCAGGTCCCTTGCTCAGGCTAATCCTTTCATATTGTCCTTGTACCTAACAGGATCTGAGTCTCTTAACCCTTCTACTCTGCTTATCAGCCCTCTTTTCTCTTCACTTAGACTTCAACTAACTTAGTTGTTAACTACTTTCTTTCAAATACTCTCAAGTCAATTATCTCTATTTAGAGAAGAGAATTCAATGAGATAATGTAGGTAAAGCAGCGGCAGAGAGAAGTGCTCACCAAATGGTAGCCAACACCGCTTCTATCACTACCAATAACATACATAACATTCTCTTGTTCCTTTGTCATTCTATCATACCAGCCTGTATGTCATACAATCCTTGGCTACTAATTATTGAAGAAAATCACTAAATTGCCCACGGATGACAGTAAATTCATGCTTCCAGCCTTAACTGCCAAGCAATTTCTACTGTTTCTCTCATCAGTCTTCTGAAATTTGAGACTACTCTAAAACTTCTCCAATCTCCTTAAATCTCCTACCCATCTCTTCCTCCCTTCATTCTCATTCTCTTGCTTCACAGAAAAAAAAAGAAACTATCAGAAAGAACTTCTCCAACTTCCAGCCACTAAATCCTCCAACCTTTCTTCAATTGCACCTATCCTCCCCTGCTTCCCTCCTCTGACAATGGAAGCACAGTCTGGTTTACTGCTAAGGGCCAATGACTCCACATTCCCTCCCACTCACTGTCATCCTCACCCACATTATCTTTAATCTCTCTCTTCATTGGCTCCTTCTCATCAATATTTAAACATATTTAAATATATCCCACCTTCAAAAGTTCTTTTTATGCCAGCTACCTCATCTCTCTTGTGTTCCTCCCACTCAAACTTTTAAAAAAGGTTGTCCACATTAGCTGCCTCTATTTATTTACTTCCCATTCATCCTTTGTCATTGTAATCTGGTTTCCATTTCCACACTCCACTGAAACTGTTCTTATCTGCTTTATCAATAACTCCAATAACTCCTTCTCAAGTTTCCTTTCATTTGACCTGTCAGCCACCTTTGGTACATTGATCACTTTCTCCATGTGAAACACTGTTTTTAGGAATGCTCCCTTTCCTAGAACTCCTCCTACCTTTCTGACTGCTTCTTGTGAGTATCCTTTGGGGTCTCGCTCCTCTTTCTCTGTCCATCCTTAAATATACGGTTCCTCAGAGTGTGGTCAAGGACCCTGTTCTTTTCATACTGTGAAATTAATTAAACAAGAAGGCCATTAGACTGAGATGGCTCTAATGCCTTGGCAGTCTACGTAAATAAACCAAAATCTAAGCCTATGAATGCCTCAAGATTACAAAATCTAAATGCTAAGAACAACAAATCACAAATACCAACTGGCTTTAAGCTATAGCCAATCAAATACAGTCATGTGCATGACACGACCTTAGAGTCAACGAGAGACTGCATATTTGACAGTGGTCCCGTAAGACTATGCTGACCGACAAAAAATCACTACTGTTTAAACAGCAGATATTTATTTGAGCAATTAGAATTGCAATTAGGGAGGCACAGATTCAGGTAGAAACCCAAAACGTGTTCTGATTACAGGAGAGGGTCTTAAGGTTTTTATGGGAAAAAGGGAGGATGAGGTGAGCTGTTTTAAAGAAGAGTTCATTGGTGCTAGACGAGGTAAGGCTAAGTTTGTACTTCATTGATTCGCTTAAGATTTGGTCATCAGGCAAAAGGCTAAAACTTGTACTTCACTGATTGGTTAGCAATTCGGTCATCAGCAAAGTCCAGATTTATCAGTCCTTACAAACAGTATATTCTTGTCCTTACTGATTTCTTGGATTGTCGGTGGTTTGGTCCAGTTTGGAAGATAAAGAAAATAAGACGTGCAAGGAAATTCCTCTGAAACAGCTACTCTGGATCTATTTTAATATGGCTCCACTCATGTCATCCTCCACAATTAGTACCATATAGCCTAGTGTGTAGTAGGCTATACCATTAGGTTTGTATACATACATTCTGCGATGTTCACACAATGATGAAATGACCTAACGACGCATTTCTCAGAATGTATCCCCGTCATTAAGCAACACGAGTATAATTTCCTTTCCTGGCTGCCACATCTCCTCCAGCATATGCCCTTCCCCTGGCTCCTGTTGGCACTCTTAACTGCATCTGGTTTGGCCCTGCCCAATTCCAATCGATTTCAGCTCAAACACTCTTAAAATTTTTAATATGCCTCAGTTTATCTTCTAGCAATACTCTATCTATCTCATTCCCTCCAATCCACCAATATGCTAATCCATATCCCAGTTTAGATCACCCCCTTGATCCATACATCAAAATACTTACGCATCCCTTACGCATTCTGTCTCCAAAGCTGTTTCTGCCATGTTCTCTCAGTGAAGGGCTTCACTACCTAACGGGCTTTCCAAACCAGAAATCTGACATCATCCTGTTTCTTCTCTCTCTCTCTCACTCTTTATATACAATCAACTTCCAAGCCTAGGCCATTGTACTTGCTGAAGTAGCTCTCAAATCATTTCAGCTGACATCCAGGCCATCATTATGTCATATTTCTTAAGGGGTCCTTTAGGTACCAATCTTGTCTGTTCTAATCCACTCTCCATACAAAGCCAGAGTGATTTTTCAAAAATGTAAATTGCATGGTGCCACTCCTATGCTCAACATCTTTCAATTTCTTGTTGCCTTTAGCATAAAGCTTTAAAAACTCCCTAGCATTTCCTTCTCAGTCTCAATTTTCCACTCCCCTTTTGCAAGCAATCTTCAGCCATTCTAAACTTCTCTGAATTCCTAGACGGCACGCTTGCAGCCTCTGAGCTGTTCCCTCAGCTGAAATACACCGTCTCTTCCCTTCTTTTTCTAACCAACCCTTAAGCTCAACTATCTGTATCACTTCCAGGAAACTTCCTGACACCCCTCCAGTTTGAACTCCTCTTTAGGCGTTCCCAAGGCATCATGTACTTACCTAGCAATTAAGAGTATTGTCTTGTAATTACTTATTCCCTAGTCTACAGCTCCGCTTGACTTTAAGTCCCTGGAGGGCAGAAACCAGGTGCTCTTAAACTTTCCATCTCAAGTACCTAAAAGTAGCGGCTGACACACAAAATAGTAGTTCAATTAATATTTGTTGAACGAATAACTATTCCTTTTTGGAAAGAGGGCGGTCAGGAGAATACCAGAAAGACGAGGGCTCAAAGCGGACAGAGTAAAAAAATCTATACGTAACGAATGGCATGGATACAGAGTACCTAGGTTATCCCACAAACTCGGCCTGGGGGGTCTAGGCCCACTGCCTCGCCCAAGGCCACGGCGACTACGGGCCCTGGAGAGCAGGCGCAGGGGTCACGCGACCCCAGGTAAGGAAGGACAATCGCTTGGAATTCGGCCTCGTGCTTCCGGTGGGGCAGCCTCGCGCCTGGCCGGTGAGGCCCGCGGGTTGGGGCTCCGAGCCTGCCCCACGGCGAGGAAGGCGCGGCCCCCGGAGCTCCCGCCGTCGCCGCCGCCTCCTCCGACGCCGTCGCCCCGCCCCGGAAGTGACTTGAGGCCCGTCCGGAACCTCGGGGCCCGGCGGCTGCAGCGTC